CACCCTGTGAGGTGAGTGAGGCTGAGAGACTTCAGAGAAGTGTGACTAGCCCAAGGTCACCCAGCAGCCGGATGTGGAGGAGCAGGGAATCAAACCTGGTTCACCAGATTACGATTCCACTGCTCTTAACCACTACACCACCTCTTACAGTTTCAAGAGGGACACTTTGCGCCATGATTCCAAGATCCATGCAGGGTGTCTGCTTTGGACTCCCATTTTCAGACAGGAGTCCATCATGCTGCACATGGACAAGCTGTTTTTGAAAGCAAGGAGCTTATCAAAAGCCATTCATAAAGTAGCAGGAATGAAATAATACAAAAGGAACCTTTTAGATTGACAGCTCCAATATTGCAAGAAGTCAATGTGAAGAATTAAGATGGAACTATAATGATAGTAGAATTATTTGCCCTTGTGAGTAAATTAGTTAGGGTTGGCACCCAGTTCAGTTTACCAGTCAAATGTTGTCAGCTGGTCAGTGAAACGATGATACTGTTGATGCTTCCGACTTGGCCAGCAATCTGCTTGGCACAACCACCTTTAAAAGCTGGTTCTTTGCTTTATTTCTTTTGGATGCTTTGGGTTCAGTTGTTGTTGGTTTTTTAATGTAACTGTAGACAGACCCTGATGTTCCTGAATGAAAGCCAGAGAGAACCGTCCAGTGAATTGTTCACATTTTTAGGAATAGTACGGTAATGTGTTTTTGTAATCATTACAAGCATCAAACTTCTAAAACTTGTTCAGGCTGCAGTCCTATATGTACTATATGCACATACCTTGGAATAAGTCACTGAACTTGGTAGGACTTCCTTCTAAGTAGATGTGCAATTTTTGTCATTCAGATAGGCATGTGTTTCTGTTCAGCTTAACCTGCTGTATCTGGTGGCAGTTGAGTAACCACTTCCAGGCCTTTTCATTTCCTCTTGTCAATCCTGGGAAATTTACAGTGATGTCAGAGTTACACCTTTCTTTTTTAAAAATGTATTTTGTTTTTGGGGTGTTTTTTTAAAAAAACTTCCTTGCTAGATGGACTTTCAGAGTTGCAATGATGTCATTGATGCTCTTTAATGGCAAAGAGCTTTCCTGCTTGATGTCATTGATGCTCTTTAATGGCAAAGAGCTTTCCTGCTTGATGTCACTGATGCTCTTTAATGGCAAAGAGCTTTCCTGCTTGATATGATTGGATCATCAGTGAAAAATGCTGGCTTATGTCATGTATAGAAGAAGGGGAAGTAAGGGGGGGAAAGTTAACTTTCTCTGAGCAGAAGATAATTTAGGCTGCATAACAAGGTTGCATGATCATTTCCATTAAACATTCCAAGGGATTTTTTTTACCCCCCTCGAATTCAATGCCCTGGCAGAGTTCCACATTTAATCTTCTTGATTTCCTCCTAAAACGAAACAACCTGTCTAAACAAAGCAGAGAATGATTTGTTCGCAGCAAATTTCCACAGCAAGTGGTGTGTTGAATTATGCTGTGATTTCCCTTCTAACGGGAACTTGGCATGGCTAAACAAATTTCCTAGCAATCAGAGACCAAGCCCCAAAAACTGGCGCCCAGACTGAGTATTTCTGATGGTTTTTTTCCTGCAATGAACCACCAGCTATTTCAGACTTTACATTTCTGGGTGATGCTCTAGGAAGCACTGGGCCCTGGGGCAGGTATGCATTGCCTCTTGACTTCTGTTAGAATGCTAAGAATCTCTGCAAGAAAAACAACAACACAGAAAGCCCAGTACAAAGAAGCCTGGGTTTCCTCACAATAAGCAAGAGCTAAGGTAGAGGAAGATGGGAAGATACTGTTTAGATCGTTGCTAGGGCTAGGAAGATAAAGAAAAGAAGAAATCAATGGAAGCCACTCGAAAACGACCAATATTCTATAGAAAGCAATTAGGCCCAGATTCAACAGTCCCTGACCACTAGTGCAAGAATGAAAATAAAGGTTGCGCAGTATGAAATGCAGCGCAGCAGTTGTGCTAGCAGCACCTTGTTGCGCAGCAGGAAGTATCGGGACCCCTGCAGTCCGTTGTGCAACTGGCCACAAGAGCCATTACTAGTTTCTGGCACCTTCTCTTGTTCAAGTCATTCTGCTAGCACAACTGGCAACACTGCTAAGCAACTGCAATTCCAGTCCCCTTCTGTTTTGCAAGCCCTTCTAGGATGCCGCACACATGCTTTCAGGCTTTCCTTAGCTTCAGTGAGGGCGGGAATCTTGATATTTGTAACTGGAATCTGGGGATTGCATGATACCGGATTTGAAACTGCACCCTGGGATCTGGACTTGCAGGTGACACAGCATGTGTAGCACCCATGATTGCAAAGATGATACTGGCTAGGGCAGAAAGTCTGAAAATCTGAGCTTGGAATTGTTTAATTGTAGAAGCTATGTGGGGAAGTACCAAACTTCATAGAGTTTAGTATCATTATCTCTTGATTGCCATTTATGCTTACTTCCTCCTCTCCCCATGCCCTCGCCTTGGGTTTCTCAATCTTCAGCAGGCAAACTCCAAATCCCCTGATATATTTATTTATACTTTTCAGATATATACATTTCACTGATTTTATATTCATTTTGATATTTTAAAGCTCGACTTCCTTCCCCCCTCTTTCTGTGGTTCCTTAGTTTTTGTATCCATTCTTCCTTTGCTGCGACTTCTTCTTTCCATTTTTGGACATGTAACATTCTTGCCACTGTAGTCATGTACATGAATAAATTTCTATACAATTTAGGTAGTTCTATCCCTATAATTCCCAGAAGAAAGGCTTCTGGTCTTTTTACAAACATTATTTTAAACATCCTTTTCATTACATTGTATATCATTTCCCAGTAAGCCTTAACCTTACTACAAGACCACCACATATGATAAAAAGAATCTTCTTTCTCTTTACATTTCCAACACTTATTTGATTTAGTTTTATACATTTATGCCAGTTTACTTGGTGTTAGATACCATCAATATATCATTTTCATATAATTTTCTCTTAAACTATAGCATGCTGTAAATTTTATATCCGTATTCCACAATGATTCCCACAACCACCACCCCACCCTACAGATCTCCATCTTTGAGAGCCATACCGTCATGCTGATTTTCTTCCCACCTGAAGAGGACGCTTTCTCTTTCAGATCTAGTCCTATATGGGTGATGTAGCTGCAAGGGGGTTTTGTTGCCTTATTGAAAACAAAGGAGTAAAAAGGTTCTGCAGTATTAAGTAAACAATAAAGTGATATGATCTGTTGATTTCCTCTGAAAAGCTCAAGTAATAAAAGCACCCTGGATAAGTGTAATACGTTTTGTTCTGCATTTTGTGCTTTTGTGTTGTCATCTTCACCTCCAAATGCCTTTGCAGGAAACTTTTTAATATTCTAGAACAGTGATTCTAAAACCTTTGTTCCCGCTGTCCACTTGACAATCGCTGGGGGTCTTGGCAGACCATTTAATGATTTTTCTGCCTGTTGTAGCAATGGTAATGTTCTGTGCTAGTTGCTTTTTAATTGCTCTCCCCCCCCCCTTATGTGTTGTTTTACAATTTGAATTCCATAGAATTTGCTTCCATAGAATTCAAATTGTCATATAATAAAATGCAATCCAAGGAATAAAAGAAGCAATAAAAACACACTTTTAAGTCCACATGAGTATTTAATGCAATGGACGTGCCATCTCCTATCTTCCCCCATGAATCCACAGACATGCCATGGACTATAGTTTGGCGTCCCCAATGTCTAGAGCCTGTGCCTGCCACTGCTGGGTCTGATACCACTGAGGTGGTAGATCACTGGCGGAAAAGTGCTGCTGCCATAGCTCTGAGAAATGAGAGTGGATTGAGCCACCCTGTATAGAGCTAGTCTACGTCACCACTACTGCTGCCCTGAATTTCCTACCTCTGCAACAAGTGGACTGCCTGTTCAGAGCAGGCAGGGCGGAGCAGTTGGGACACCCCTGTATCCCTTGTTCCAGCTAAAGGACAGGTTGCACCCCTGTATTGTCAATTAGATTCTAGTTTGAATCTATAGTTCAGGGGTAACCAACACTGTCCCTTCCAGACGTTTCTTGGCACTAGCTGTCTCGGACCGTTGGCCAAGTCCACTGAGGCTGATGGTCATCTTGTGGTCTCTTCGTTGGCTATCCCTACCCTAGTTACTTTGCTGGGTCAACCACTACAATGCTGTTTACATGGGGCTGCCTTTACAAATTGTTTATTTATATTTAGGCTGCCTTTCTGAGTGCAACCCATCCATGGTAGCTTGCATTGTTAATCATTGGTACAATTGGTTGTAAATTTGTTTCCAGGCTCAGTTTAAAGAACTGGTATTAAACTGGTTCTAGACTTTATGGTTTTAAAGGCTACCTTAAGGATTGCCTTTGTACATCTGAAGCTGCCCAACCTTTAAACTCCAACTCACCTGAGATCACTTGGTCAGGTACAATAGATGGGCCTTTCTTGGTACCCAAACTATGGACTGCAACTCCCAATGGAGATCTGTTAGGATGCCTATTGAGGATGTTTCTATATCAACAGGCTTTCAGTATTTTAATTACCATACATTTCTGTGTATAAGACTATGTTTTTTTACTCTTAAATAATGTTCAAAATCTGGGCTCGTCTTATACACGGATAGTATCTCCCCCCCCCCCCATTTTCTTAAATCGGAGTCCTCCAAATAGGGGGCGTCTTATAGATGGAAACACATGGTACTTTTAAGGAATTGATGTTTTTAGTGGGGGTTTTAAATATTGGCTGCTTTTATGTTTTATTGTTTTTACTGGTATATGAATTGCTTTTGGTTTTTAGCAGTGTCTTTGTAACTTTTGTTTGTATTTTTGTAAGCTGATTTGATTTTCAGAAACACAAGTTATAAAATAGGTGCAGTTTGGCCCTTGCATATAGCCATGTTTTGCATTTGGTTGCATTCCAAGAACTGGGGGTGGGGACTCAGGTCATTGGATGGCCCAAGAGAGAGCCTTCTCTCCAGCTAATTACATTTTTTATTCATTTTCCAGCCGCCAACCTGAGCCACCAAAGAAGGAGAAAGAGGCAACTACGACCACCCCTTCTCAGTCCAAGAGAGCAGATGAGTGGAAGGACCCTTGGCGCCGATCAAAATCCCCCAAAAAGAAGCATGGGCTGTCTGCTTCACCCAGCCGTGCTCGCAGGCGCCGGAAAACCTCTGCCTCTTCAGCCTCCGGCTCAGGTTCATCAAGGTGTGAACCCGAGATGGGCAGCAACAGATACAAGGGGATTTCTTACAATCAGCATCACTCCAGATGGCCCCCAGGACTCAGTCCTAGCCGAAAGAGCAATGCTGCTGGTGGGAGGAGCATGTGAGCCAGAGACAAAAGAGAATAGGCTGTGCGGCCAGGGGATTCTGTTGTGAATAAGCATCCAGCCCTTTCTTGGATGCACTAGGGCAGATTGCTCTGGTGTTAGTCAATGGAAAGAGAGCTTAAATCAATACTGTGACCTGTTGAGACTGAATGGCAGAGAGTGACAGCCTGTGCCCCTGGAAAGGTAGCCTCTAAAGGCAGGCTACAGCAGAGTAGGACGTAGACCTCCTGTGAACCTACTAGGATCTCGGGGGGATTTTGAAATAAGGGAGCTTCTTAAAGCAAGTAGAACTGAAAATAAGAATTCATACAAATAATGTTCCAGTTGCCGAAATGCTGTTCCCTCATATGTACACATACCTTTTATTTCCTTTCAGGTCATCTTCTCGCTCCTCCTCCTATTCTGGATCCGGTTCTTCACGGTCACGGTCCAGATCTTCCTCATACAGCTCCTACTCTAGTCGCTCTTCCAGGCACAGCTCCTTCTCAGGCAGTCGATCCAGGTACTGTTTCTCCAAATGTGTTACCTGGCAGGTTCTTGGGCTCCCATAGTGAGCCTCCCTGAGTCAAGACAGGTTCTTTTAGGTGAGTCTGGGCAGTACCCTATGGAAAGCTCAGGACAGCCACTTGTCAGTTTTAAGATGCTGCTGGAAATCCTGGAAGTGGAATCTAGGACACAGACTAAGTTCAGAATTCAGGGAGCTTAGCTGCCTAGAAGTAGTTTTACTACAATTCATATCCTTTATTTTAATGCCCCCTCCTTTCAAAAATTAAAATACCTAAAATGCTTGTCTAGATTGCTATTTTTTTCTTCAAAATAAATCATACCTTAGTCGTTAATTCATTGCATCTTTGAGAGCACTTTACATATTAATATTGCATTCCATATTTTTCAGGCCCATTTGCTCACTGCTGCTTGCTTATTGCATTTTTTCCTACTGCAAGGAGCATTCTTGCACCTGCAAATAAAATGCTCACCAGTATTCGGCTCTATTCTCCTCTTCACACAATTTCTCATATCAGCCTAATGGTACCTGGAGGGCACCAGGTTGCAGAAGGCTGACATGGGATTTGGACCCCATTTCCATGCTCACAAACTCACAGGTGTGGCCTGCTGACTTATGCACAATTTACGCACGAGTAAGTGTGTTTATGGTTGTGACCCTGCAATGGCATTTCAAATAGACACAGTTGCCACTGCCACATGCACTGGAAAGAGGCAGTTTCCTAGATGGGCACCCCGCCAAACTACTTTGCGTGTTTGGGTTGGCTGCTGCTACTGAAAAGTTATGAAACGGTGATGAAATATCCAGGTACAACATGTTTACGATCATCTGTTATCAGAAGAGAAGAAGTTGTGTAAACAAATGGTGGCAATCTTGTGACCCGTGGAGATGATTTTCTCTTCCAGATCAGCAGAGGAGTATGGGGCGGGGGGGGGGGAGAGAGAGAGAGAGATCTGGATGACTATCCAATAATTCTGTGATGCCTTCAGCCCCTGACCAGTCGGGGAGCTGCTGTTTCTCCACTTTCTGGAGGTTGCCTGCTTGGGAGGGTTCCTTTTCCCAGTCCATGTTCTAGCTTCCTCTCTACCAGGAGATGTGACCGTTGGCTTAAAATGATGGGGCACGGAACCGTTTCTGATCTGCTTGGACCCTGAAGAAAAGGGAGTTCCATGTTGCTAGATCCTGACCAGGGTAGAGCTCAGCCCTTTTCTGGCCCCGTACCGAGATGTGGGTGGAGGAAGTTCTGTGGGGCAGTTCAGCATCCCTTCTTTTCCTGCTCCAAATTCTGCAGATTAGAAGCTAGGCAACTAAATTCTTGTGTCATTTGATCAATTCGAATTCCAGGATATGGGTCCTTTTCCCCAGTGAAGTTGCACTAGGGCAAGAGCCTGGAGGGAATGGGAAGAGGGGCAGTTATGGAATCTGAGAGCTGTTGGGACAAAGAGCCAAGTTAGTGGTGAGGCACCACCCCCAGTTACTGGCAGTCCTGCCGGGTGTTGCTTGGCTTCTCATTTCAGGCGGCCCATTTCTGCCACCCCCCATGCTAAAGCTTCCTTCCCTTCAAGGGTGGTCTTCTTTACACACCCAGCCCCACTTCACCAACAGATGTTGGGTGCTGGTTTTTCTCCGCAGTACCTCTGATCTAAGAGTCCTACGGACACAGATCACTCACAGCCTTGAATGTGGCATGGGCACCGCTTGGTGCACTGAAAAGTCGAAAGCCATCATCTATCCAAAAGATGCTTCCAAAAAGTTTGGATAGTAGAGAGTTTTGTAAAAGAAAAATGGTACCATTTTTTAACTTTCTTCAGTGATTCATATCAGCCTGCTTTACACAGATAACAGCAGAAGTGTGGCATTGGAGGTGAGGGCTTGCATGAGCTTAGAGCTTTCCCCCCCACAATGGCAGATGGGGGACCAGTTTTGCGGTCAACAGATCCTCTAAAAGCCAATTCAGAGTGGAGCCCTGCAGGTGCTGCTTCCAGGGTTAGCAGGCCATTCAAATGTCACCAGTTGGCCACCTGTTGTTTGATTGTGCCCATATATTGTAAAATATTCCATGAAGCCATCATGCTTGAAGAATTGGCCCTGTTGCCTACTTAGCACATCCATCTGCCTTTAAAAACTGTCTTTTGCTTTTCAGTAGTTGTTGTTACTTCACTTTGTTACTTCACTTTATTTTGGTTCAGTCCAAAAAAACCCAAAAAAACTGTAGACTGATCCTCATGTTTCACGATAAAAACCAAATGGAAGAATATTCAGTGAATTGTTTGCATTTAGAAGGAACTTAGCATGGACTTTTATAATGGACTTAACTGTCAAAGGTCCTTTACCTTTTTTAGAGGCACCCCCAATTCAATGAGGCTTCTGCTGTATTTAAAGGGTGTATCTAGACTTTCCCCTCATTCTCATTCTCTCTCTCTCTCTCTCTCTCTTGTCTGACTTTTCAGGTCACGGTCCTTCTCATCTTCCCCATCTCCTTCTCCAACGCCTTCTCCACACAAACCTCTTCCCAAAGCTAAAGGAGAGCCTGCAGCACCTGCTGGAAAGGGGTAAGATGCTGTGTCCGCTCTGGGCAAAGTGACATTGGGACATTCCCTTTTGAGGTTCTATAGCAGTATAAACGTCCAGGGGCACTTTGCATTTGTCACATTTAGAACTAGACCAGCAAGGTACTTTCCACCAGATCAGGTTTGTAAAGTGTGGTCCTGTGGTATTGTGGCACCCAGGCGTGAAATAAAGCAAACACAACAGTTGTCTGTACTTAAATATTGATTTTTAAATGGACGTCATCTCCCTTTTCCACGAACATGTGACACATGCTTCACATACAATTAAAGAGATGACACATTTCTGCTGAGGGATGTCTACCTACTTGTAGCAATGTTGGTTCTGCAAGGCCTGCAGCTTATCTCTTGATACGCTGTCATTCACTGATTGGATGAATGATAAAGCAATAAAATGTGTTTATTTAAATATACACTCTTTGGGTTAGTCATCATAGGGCAGTAGGCAGACTTCAGGCTTATGGGATCTACTTTTTTTAAAAAAAACTAAAACCCCAGGATCCAACAACTGGAGCCTAGTGAGTGGGGGGGGGGGCTACATTTCAAATCAACCTGTTCTAAGCCCAGACCTTTGTTTCAAATACCAGAACTGAACAGAGCTCACAGTCCTTCCACTCAAAATGTCCATGCCTGATTCCCCCCCCCCACCGGGCCCCCTAACAGTATAATTTGCAGTGGGGTGGAACTGGGGAAGAGAAAGTCACCCCATTTGGCCATGGAGATGAGCTTGAAAACATGAGGCAGATTTGGTGAAATGTCCAGAGACCCCAAAATAGACTGAACCGGACTCACTGTGGTCCCAGGAACTGCACTTTGGAGCTCTGTGCAAAAGTTTCTTCCAATACGAAATGCAAAATAAATAAATGCACGGTCACTTAAATGACTCTGAAAACCCTGTTGCTGTACTGTCCATATTCATTTCGTTAAAAGTTTTGTTTCCCAGAATACTCCTCCTTTTGCAATTCATGTGAATTAAGGAGAGTGGGAGAGCAACGTCCCCAAAGCCTTACAGGGAGCTCAATTCCAGCATGTCCAGTTAGAAGAATTTGAGAGAGGAGGGCTAGGAAAGGCCTGTGACAACTCTGGAGAGCCATTGCCAGTAGAGTAGGCAATACTGGGCTTAAATGAACAGCAGCCTGTCTCTTTGAAAGACAGCTGAGCTGTCCAACCCCAAGGCGCTCTTTCACCATCCTGTCTCCCAGAATGTGTCAGATGGCTTTAGCATGGTTGCTAAGATTTGAGGCTAGGCTTTCACAGACTTGAGTCCAGTTTCTCTTCCAGCCGGTCTCCCTGCTCCTGTCATCTTACCCATTTTACTTTTGCAGTGACAAGCCTGTGAAGAAACTGCCTGCCCCTCCAGCGCCTCCACCAGTCGCTAAAACTGCCCCAGCTGCCCCGGAGCCACCCAAGCCAGGAAACAGTAGAGAGGCGAGGCGGAAGGAGCGCCAAATGAGGATGCCACCCCGGAGGTAGGAGGAACAGGGGAGCTTCCTAGAACAATCTCCTAATAGGCAAGTCGAAGCATGAGCTGCTTTCTTGGGAACCTGGGGAGGCACAGCGGCCCAAGTCATTGCTTCATGCCTAGGGGCTTCCCAAGACATAGCTGTTTACTTGGAATGTCACTTAAGGCACCAGCGGCTAGCACTTCATTTGCCCACAGGGCCACAATCACCTTTGACCAGTCCTCAGGGGCCACATTCCAGGAGCAGCTGTGTCCATAAGTGGGCGTGTCCACTCCACATTTCACAAACACATGCCCCGCTTCTCTGTGCAGATCAATTCAGGCAGGAGAAATTATCAACTCCTCTCCCTTCATCGTATGATTGATCTGGTTACCAGGGAAGGGATTTCTGAGCATCTTGGGAAATTGGCTGTGGCAAAGCGGGGTTCTCCAAAGTGAAATTAGCGTGCAATTCAAATGTGTAGAATTTCTGAAACTGGCACAATATAAATGGGCCACATCCCAAAGGATCTAATTCCATGCAGGCAAAAGAAACCGCTTGTTTCCTCTGTTCTTGTGGGGCTCTTTTGACCCTGCTTGCCTCATTGGCTGTGGGAGCTGCATCCAGAAGACAGAAGAGAAAAACTTCCCTGCCCTTCATGGCTTCCTTAGCATTCCTCATTAGAATCGTGACCACAGGTTTTTAGAGTTCTGTGACTGAAAGCCAGGTGGGAAATAGGTCCATGCCAGGAAGTATCTGTGGGGAATCCCTTCTCTTCTCCCCAGTGATCACTTTGGGGAGGAAGGAAGGGCACAGCCTCCCTTTGCCCCACAAGAGGACTGGCTTCTCGCAACTGGTAATTAGCGGCCTGCTGCCTCTGATTGTGGAGGCACAGCCATTTTAGCTATTAGCCATTGATAGACTTATCATCCATGATTTTGTTTAATCCTCTTTTAAAACCAGTTGGTGGTACCCCAATGGGAGTCCCATAAACGCAATAGCCCTCTCCTGTTTGGAACCCCAAGCAACTGATTCCAAACACATTCCAAGCACATCAAAGAGTGTAATGTATTTCTCAGCCAACTCAATTATTTCTCCCACCACCCAAACTATCCCTAGTTAGGGCTTGGGCCCGTACACCATGGGGATGGTCCCTAGTGGCAGAGGTCAGCTCACATGCAGTACCCATTGCCATAGAATAGGTTCCACTGCCCCACAGCAAGGATTTTCAAGCAGAGTTACTCTATTACGATCCTTACTTGCAAGAATCCACTTTAGCCCCCTCCCTCCTGCTGTTGGGCTCCCAGCCCATCCACATGGAAGCAAGCTATTATTTTATAAGTCACTTGGAGATGCCTTACATAGCAAGCCACTAATAGGTTGTATTATTATTAATAATAATTATTGTTTAGAATTTATTCTGCTGATATTGTTGGTTTTCAACCGTCCTAAGTAAGGGTTTGTGGGTGGCTGGGTATTCCTGAGTGCCCCTGTATGGCAAGCATCAAGGTTTCCCTAGAATGACCAGCAAAAGTGTCTTGCACTGATGTCCACCTGGTATGCAACAGGGAGCTTGAACTTGTTTCTTGTTGCAGGCGGGCCATCAGCTGCAGCATGAGTGGCAGCGGCAGCAGCTATAGTGGGTCCAGCTCCCGTTCAAGATCCATCTCCCGATCCCTCTCTCGATCTCATTCTCGGTCCTCCTCAGCTTCCATCTCCCCATCACCGTCTGGGTCCAGAAAGTCCAGGTGAGATATTTCCTTCTGTTTCTGGGCTGGAAGAGTAAAACATGTGGCTACTTATGCGGAATGAGGCATCTTTCTCCTAAAGCAGGATTTGTTTGAAGGAAGCATCATGCCAACCTTCATGGCTACTTGAGTAAAAACTGGGAAATGCCCAGAAATCAGCTTTTCTTATAAAGACCTTAGAATTGCCATGCTGGGTCGAAGCATCTGCCTCCGCAGCATATCCTGTGACTTTGCCCAGCCAGAATCGTCAGGATGGTTCAGAAGCAGAGCATGCTAGGTACAATCTTCTCCTTGTGGTTAACCCCAACTGTGCCCTCTGAAAATGTTTCTACCTTCATGCCTTGTGGCAAGAAGCATCAAGCATGTGTCATCAGCTGATTTGACTTTGCATTTAATTCATTACGGTGCCTTGCAGTTCTTTCCTTATATTAATTTAGCTGTTGCAGGAAGACATCCTTAGATCTATTTCCAAGAAGGAATTGAAATTGTGAGGGTAGGGAGGAGATTGCAGAGAAAACAATGATGACATGAACAGTCTGTTTTGCATAATGTTATGTTTTCCTGGGGCTCCCTGCATCAGATTCTAGCTTCCGCATCAATGAATACAAAAGGTTCCCACCTGAGCTGGTGTCCCAGTGACATCTGGGGGGCACCAAGTTAGGAAAGGCTGTCCTGGAGCAGCACAGTTGGCCACCGTTTTGCTGCGGAGAAGTGCTCATGAGCATCTTGACTGATTGTGAAAGTTCTCTTGATATCGCAGCAATTCAGCCAGTGGAGGGGGGGACGGGGACGACTTGTATCCAGATGGACAACAGGCAGAAACCAGTTTTCAGTCTAGTACTAAATTGACCTGGTGCCCTTCAGATGTTTTGGGACTCCTGGAGGGCACCAGCTTATTTATTTATTTATTGGCGTTTTCATCCCACCTTTCTCTCCAAGGAGCCCAAGGTAGTGCACATGGTTTTCTCCCCCTCTAAATGAAGGGGGTATGACTGTGAGGTAGGTATGGCTGACAGGCAGCGACAGGTCCAAGGTCACCCAGTGAGCTTCATGACTGGGGTGGTGGGAATTGAACCCTGGTCTCTAACCAGTGCACCACACAGGCAAGGCTGTATTACATAAGCAAAACTATTCTCCACTGGGGTGCTGTTTCAACCCGTTCTTCTGGATCTAACTTGTATCTTTGTCCTCCTTGCACCCAACCCAGGTCCCTGAGTGTAAGTAGCGTCTCGTCCGTTTCCAGTGCCTCCTCCAGTAGCAGCTCTGTGCGGAGCGCTGACTCAGAAGACATGTATGCCGACCTAGCCAGCCCGATTTCTTCGGCCAGCTCCAGATCCCTAACCCCAGCGCAGCCGAAGAAGGAGAGAGGTAGGCCACTCTGCCTCCAGAATGTGATTTGCCTGTGTTGCTTCAAGTACCTCCTGTGGCACTGCCAGTCTCCATTCCCCTCTGCTGCTCATTTCCCCTCCCCTCCCCCCCCCCACCAGACTTCCCTGTTTTTGTTGCCCTTATTTGCAGACTGCTTTGGAATGTTCTTCACTAACAGATGGAAAGACGTGTGAAATCTTCATGAACACAGTTCACTAGCACTATTTATTCTGGATACAGAATGCAGATTGTTTTGGCGAAGGGTCCTTCTGCTGTGCTCATCATATCTGTTCTCGATCATGGCACACGAATAACGCAAGTTTAGACCATGCATGTGGTCTGTTTTTTCTAAAGGCAAAATTCTGCCCTTTTTTAGCAGTGGAAATACACTGCAAATTCATTGGCAACAGCAGGGAAAGCCAATTTCCCAGACTCCACCAGTGTAACATCAGCCGGCAAGGGAAGCCCAGAGAAGAGCCTCACCAATTATCTTTAAAGCGCAGGTGGGTTGATATTAGAGCAGGTCATCCTTGAGCAGCTTTTGTCCCAAACCATAAACAGCCATAAAGGTTATTGCCAGCACCTTTCTTTGTGCATGCACTAGAGAAATGTCGCCCATGTGGTTGCTACATTTTGAGCCGACCAAAGTTTCTTCAAGGAGAATCTCGCAAGCCACATATTCAAGCCTGGATGTTACTAAGGCATGGGTAACAGTATCCGAACTACTTCTGTGTAGGAAGGGGCAGAGCTCTAGGACATTAACATATTTTTGGATTGGATTGCATGTATTTTAATATTTTTTAAACTTCACTATATAACCATCTCAAAGGTCTTAATCTGAGCCTTGCGGCTTTTATTCCAAATGTGGTTGGGGCTGATGGGAGTTGTAGTTCAAAGCATTTGGAGAGCACTAGGTTGGGGAGGGCTGGTTTAGGTTGAGTCGCCCCTTAAAAGGACCTCAGGTGGCAGGTAATAGGAGAGCCCTGCCACCTTTTCTGCTGGAAGCCTTGAAGAGCTGCTGCTAGTCAGGAAAGACAGCACTTCCACTGCTGCAGCTCAGAGGCAGAGCTCAGTGCTTTACATGCAAAAGGTCCTGGGTTTAATCCCTGGCATCTTTATGAAGGGCATGGAGAGACCCTTCTTCTTTTTCTTATATATATATTTTTTTTAATTTCTTGCACAACATTTATTTAAAGTGTTTAGCCAACAACTCTGGGCTACATGAAAACAGATCACATGGAGAATTGTGCAGAGGCATGGAAAGGAGCAAAACCTAGTGTATGACCAGGTATTTGCTGACAAGGAGGCTGATTTGTTAAGTTACACTGGTTCACCGATATTATCCAATGGGATACTCAAAATCTGTACCACTATGACAACATTAAGACTTGCGAGATACTGTTAGCTACTTCCATTTCTCAACAAAGGATGACAAAATTATTACTTTCTCAGAGACATGCAAGTTTTTCATGTGAAGTAAGTACTTGTTTGTCATTTTGGATAGGATTCCAACACTTGCTTTACAATTAAGAAGACTAATTATAAAACGCCATTGGTGCAATCCAACATTTGGCATGAGCAACTTCACCTTCCTCTCCAGCAGCTCCCATAGACCCCAAAATCTGCTCAAGGGTTCCCCAAACCTCTGAAGCAGATTTTGACAGCACACATGGGGGAGCAAGGGGATAGGAGAGGAAGGCGAAGCCCTGTACTATGCTCCATTCATGCAGGGATGTCTTTGGATAAACCACATTGGATACAAGCACGCCGTGATTGAAATGTAGCATTTGCTCAATAGGAACAAATCCTCCTTTGAATAAATGAGGCTTTTTTTTTGTTATTCTTGATTTTTTAGTATGAAAGTGAACATCTCAGATTTATACAATTATGATAGAGCTATTTACAAAATACATACAAACTGAAACATTTATAAATGCGGTAGCTTTGAGCCTGGAAAGCCTTTTGGACCATTTACTGTAAACAAAAACATAATCTAAGTTGGTGCTGTAAACTCTTCAAAAGTTATATGTGGGACTCATTCTGCTTTGCTTCAAGATTAGGTTTTATTGAGATAGTTTTCTATTTTGCTAAACTGGTAGAAAAAAAGGGAATGTATATCTTTTGTTTAGGATTGTAGTTGCATGCTGCCATGGGAAAGCAACTGTAAAGTTCATGGTTTCATTTCCTCTTATCTATAAAAACTTCTGAACTACAAAAGTTTTCAAAATAATAATATTTTGCCAGAGGCTGTTGGACTGGGAAAGAAATGTTACATTTTAAACAGTATAATCATGAACCTGTATTAAAGGTATAGACATTACAGGACAGTTCAAAACTGTATTCAAGAGTCCTATAAAAAGGAACACAAAAGGCTCGTTTGTTTTTGTTGCTCCAGACGACAATTCAAGCATTAACCTTGCATGATAGTGACTAAGAGCTGGTTTCTGGTCCCAGTTTTAAGTGTCTCAAAAGTGAAGGCTTTTTCAGTTTGGCCCATTTAAGTCCAACAATAAGGATAAGTCAGCTCAAAACACAGAAATGAGGGCAAAGACTCCATATAATAAAGCACAGGGATATGCTACTAAAAGTTGTTGTCCTTCCATTGCCAAGGCTGAAATGAAGATTTTGGAAGCTGAAAAGCTACACCATCCAATAATTCCAGCAGCAAGAATAACTCCCATCATACCCTGTAGAGAAAATACAATTGCAAAGCTGGAAAGTATGATCATAGGAAGGAGACAGTATCCTAGCACACTGGCAACACAGCCAAACGAAACGCCCGTCATGCTCATTAAATTCAGGAGACAGAACATTCCTAAGCATCCGATTGCACTAATCCCATACACATAGCCAAACTGAATTTTGCCAGCCAGCAATAATGTGGCACCAAAGGCTAGGCAGAAGACCATGGGCCCTGCCATATCAGTTTCATACATTATGCTGCCATCTGCTGCTTTTAACGGGTGCAATACAGTAAGAGTTTTCTGCCAGATGTGGTCAAAATTGATTCCTAGTTCTTCTAGTAAGGGTGGCTCATCTTCAAAATTGCTTCCATAGAAGGACTGTGGGGAGGATGGAGTGTATGTTTGCGTTGGCTGAAAAATCTGGCCAGTGTAAGGCTGTTGTGGCTGCATCATCTCTGGAGGGACGTATCCGCCTTGCTGAGAATAGTCGTAGCCAGCATACTGTTTGTTGTATGTTCCTCCTGCATAGTCTCCTCCATAGGACTGTGCTTGATCATCAATGCTGTAACTTGTTTGATAGAAATCTGTATTGAAGTTATCGAACCCAGACATTGCAATCTGTCTTCAGGCCCGGGCACCAGACCCCCTTCGCTACGCGCACGTCCGGCGGCCGCAACCCCGCGAAGACCCCTCCTTCTTATATTTTTTATTAGTTTTACAAATTGTTACAAATCAGACCTAAGTACTTTAATACAATTTCATAAAATTAGGTTTCCCGCTCCTGTTGAAAACATATGTCCATCACTTTCTCTTGGCCACTTCATATCTTCTTTAATATCCATTTAAACCTTCACATGATGTTAGTCCATTCTCGCAGCTGACCATAATTCTTTCCTTACATACAGCACCACTGTTAATTCTCATAAATATTAAATCCATTTCATGTGTGTAGTCCTTCATAAACGGTGTTCTCAGGTCTGGTGTGTTGGGAGAGTTAATTGCTATCTTCCTTTGTTCAGTTCTCTTCCTTTGCTTAGTTCCCTGCAGTGTTTACAAGGTAATTTCACATTCCGTTCCCTTCCTTCCTCTGTTCGCCAACTTGTGTACAGGCTGCGGCTATAAATAACTCCTAGATAAAATGTCCAATCTCCACCATTAAAATTCCACTCTGGGGTTCTTCCTCAGCACAGCTAAATTTTTTTCTCAAATACAGCTGCTTCTTGCCAGATTTAATGAGCAGCCATTCGTTTTCTTACTCTGCATTGCTCCCTCACACTCCTGGTCCAGTCCTTTATTCTGAATAATGAGGACTAGAATTGTGCTATATTTTTAGAGGAAGGGTCATAGCTCAGCAGTGGAACATCTGTGTTGCATGCAGGAGGTCCCAAGTTGAATCCTCAACAGCATCTTCAGGTACGACTGGGAGAGACCTCTGACATGCTGGAAAGCCACTGCCGGTCAGTTTAGATCAGTAGTCTTCTACCTTTTCAGACCCAGGACCCACTTTTAACTCAGACACACATTTGGGGACACATTCCTTAATCTTTTACCATATATTTGCATGGTGGTAGTGCTTCTGTTGCAACCCACCTTGGATCAGGCCATAACCCACCAGGGGGCCCTTACCCACCAGTTTGAAGACCAGTGGTTTAAACAGTACTGGACCAGGTAGACCAATGGAACTCTGTATAAGGCAGTTTCCTCTGTGAAATGCTCCATAGCTTATATAACGTTGCTTGTTTTCAGCACAGATTGTCCACAGTTGCTGTCATGTTGACTGTCCCCTGGCCTTGCTTACAGAAACCTGGGGAGGGGAGGAGCACTTTCTGGCTCTTTGATCACCAAAGCATGTTCTGCTCCTAGCAGGAAAGCCCAAAAAAGAAGGTGGCGGCAACATCAAGGAGGAGAAGCGGAAACGGGAAGCCCCAGCACAGCCCCCCAAGCCAGCCAAGGCCGTGCAAGGGGGTAAAACTCAGCAGCCGCCCCCACCTCAGCAGCCCCCACCGCCCCAGCCGCAGCCAGCTGGCTTCAGCGCCCACAAAGAAATCAAACTAACACTGTTGAACAAGGTGAGGTTTTTTTGGGGGGGGGACTGAGAGGGTCTCCTTAAATATTTTAAGCCGTCCCTCAACTTCCCTGCATGCAGTTGGAGGGGAGGGGGCTTCCCACTTCTCTCTGGGGCATTGATAATATTGAATAATATGCACAAGGGCCCAAGAAGGCTTCCTCTGACTTGGGGTCCACCCAGCAGCTGCCTTTAGGTGTGACGACAAGGCGTCCTCAAAGCAAATGAGGGGCCTGCTTTGAGGGTGAGGTGTAAAGGGCTGGCTCAGATAGCGGACAAGTGGATCTGATCCACCACAGGCAGAACTTACTACTTTGCAAAAAAATATGTCTAACTGCTATATATAAACAACAACAAAAATGTACAAATTTAAAGAGATCTACTATTAGAGAAAGATAGTTAATTGCATGCATAAGTTGGCAGCACATAAAGAGATTTCAGCAGCTGCTTAAGGAATAAAGCAGAAGGTGCCTGCTGAATTCTGAATAGTGAAGAGAGGAACTTTTCTGCCTCTCTCATATTATAGGACACCCAAGATCAGCCAGTTAAATTTGAGGTATAGGGGATCCAGATAGCAACTGTTTCACCAAATGCAGGCTTCCACTTCTTTGGAGTTGGTCATCCAATTTGACTGATCAATGTCATATGGGAGCTCTTATCAGTGACTTCTTCTTGGGGAAGGGGGACAGCAGGCAAATCACACTTGCGGGCTTCTTGGAGGCATCTGTTTGTCTGTTGTGTGGAACACAAACACTGGGTTGGACGACTTTCTGGTCTGATCCAGTAAGATCCTGCAGGGGCCTCTCTTGCATAAACAACACTGAAGATGCACCCACCATGCAGCCCTGTTGGTTAACATTTTATGAGCAAACTGCCTGTCATAAGGGCAGGTCAGATATGTGTGATGGGAAGGTCAGCGGCACAGTGGTACATTGCTGAAACACCTGGAAGGTGCATTGGGTGTTCTTGTGTTTACAGCATGCATGACACCTTCCCCCAGGGGCCGCCGCCAGTCACACCACCCAGAAGCTCTCGTCACTTTTGTCCCTGGGCATAGTTGAGGCATTTCTCTGTTAGTCACACTAGAGTGGGACAGAACAGCAGTAAGCAGCTTTTAGGTTTACACAAGAAAGCAGAGCACTGGGGACAGACTGAGCAGCATGTAGTCTGCTGGGAAAGCAGCACATGGAAATAGCAGGGATTTTTCTGCTTCTGGCCTCCCAGTTGGTTTCAGCTTGAAGAGGAATGGTTGACCTCTGCTAAGGGTGGGAGTAGAGGGAGTAGAGCCATTGCTCTAGGGGGAGAGGACAGTTAAAAGTGGAAGCAGGCTGCTGCTTGCTTGCTTGACTAACTGCCCAAGGCAAGCACTCGCCTGACCAGTCGCATGCTCTCAAGGCCACAACACACACCTTTTCTGGGCCAGCCTCCAGCCGCACTCTGACCTTCTCCTCGGAAAATGTGCAACAGAGCCTCTGGCTAGAGCCAGCAAGGTGAAGACTTGGAGCACAAATGTCCTGCTGCAGGGAGAGTGCCTCGTTGACAGGCCAGCCTGTGTGTGTGTGTGTGTGTGTGTGTGTTCCCATGCGTGAGCCTGGCTCATTCTGATCCCCTCCATTCTCTTTGCAGGCAGCTGACAAAGGAAGCAGGAAAAGGTACGAGCCCTCTGACAAAGACAGGCAGGCTTCTCCTCCAGCCAAGCGGGTGACCCTTTCTCCAGACAGAGGTGAGGAAGTGTGTGGGACCAGGAGGGGAGACCTCTGTTGCAATGCCTCTCCACATGCAAATACTTCAGCTGTCTACTTCTGCTCTGGTCACCAAGCTGGGCTCACCCACTTGTCTGTGTTTGAACTCTGCACAGATGCCCTTTTTGGTGACGGCTGCCGTGTGCGCGTGCGCATGCATGCACACACACTCAGCTCATTGCTGTGGAATTTGGTGCACTTGTCAGCTCCTTGAGAACCACTTCAAAAAGAGAGAGCTGCCTGTCTTTTTGACTTCAAAGGCAAACTTGAAAATGTGTGGGCAGCAGTGCGGTTGCCCAATGCCATCTTTGTTACAGCCAGCGGAAGTGAGGAGCTTAGTGGTGGAGTATGTGCTTTTCATGCAGAAGATCTTGGCTTCCATCCCTGGTGTCTCCAGGTACTGCCTGAAACTGGGGAGCTGCTGCCAGTCAGTGTAGACAACCCTGAGCTAAATGGACCCCATGATCTTGACTTGCTCTAAAGCAACTTCCTACATTCCTGTCTTTATACATGGGTTTTTTCTTCAGGGTTCAGTTTCTGCTTTTATTTATTTACCTTTTTTAAAAAAAATGCAGGGTTGATGCTCAGTTGAAAAGAGCTTAGTTGCAACATCCCCAGCTGCTCCCTGCCCTCACCCAAGTATTTGTTAGATGATCAGCTCTGACTCTTGCACGATAAAAGCCAAAAGCTGGCATCCCAGGCTTTCCCCTGACTGTGTTGCAAGCTCATTAAGGCTGACATGCCAGAGCTGCTGCTGCTGGTATACTCAGCCTGGACTGTGCCTGCAGCCAGAGGCACAATCTGCCGTGCCAGGCTTGGAGTTGCTTAACTGTTGCTGAGGCAACAACTTTTCCTGAGAGCATCAGTAACTGAGCCACATTCCTTATGCTGATCTTGCCACCTGAAAAAAATGCATTGTACAAATCAAAGCTGGTGTTGCTAAGAAACCGGAAGCTGGAAAGTCCCCAGTTCAAATCTCACCTCTGCTGTGAACTCATGGCAGGTGGTCATGTGTTCTCTCTCTGTTTCGGCTTTCCACCTTCAGCACAGAAATGAGAACACTGACCTACCTCACAGGGTTGTTGTTAGGGCTACTAAGATAATGTACATGAAATGTTTTGAACACTTAAGGGACCATTAATAACAGCTGCAGTTTGAATTGTTGGGAATTGTAATGTTGCTGTTGCTATTGAATCGCCCCTTTAAAGCAGCCATCCCCAACTGGGTGCCCTCCATATATTTTGGACTTGATGTCTCCTCAGCCCCGGCATCGTACAGCTGTGCTGCCTGGGGCTGGTGTAACTTGCACTCCAGTACATCTCATGGGCAGCTGGTTGCATTGAAATATACTGACTGCATTAAAAGGCTGCATTAAAATATACTGACCCCATTCCTCAATCAGTGATTTCTGAGGGAGGGCGCACCATATGAAAACAACCACCATACTCAGACTACCTGACGTATTCTTCCTTCCTCAGGTACCCGTGATAGGAAACCTGCAGGGAGGCTCTCCTCTCCCAAACAAGACCGCCAGCGGGGTCCTAACCTGAAGCTCTCAGCTGCTCAGGCAGACAAGTAAGTTCTGTGCTCCATGATCTTGGCCTGCTGCATTTTTTGGCTTCCTGCCTGGTTTTTTCCTCCCTGCGGCTCTTTGAAGGCTGCCATGCTTTAACTACATCAGGAGGCAAGGGCCCACATGCCCAGGCGGCAACTGATAGCTGCAGCAGCCACCCCCGGGTGATCCCCAACCTCTGTGCGTCACAGGCGATAGAGCCCAGTTGCCCATTTGGGTCATCCCTTGCCCTGTGACTCATAAAGGCTGGGGATCACCTGTCTGAAGGCCTGAAGCAACCCCAGAGGGCATGGGACAGGTGGTATATCTTGAATGTCTTGGGTGTAACCTCACAGGGCATCACCTAAAAGGGCAGGGGATGACGCTGCGTGGGCATTAAAGTGGGGAATTACCACAGGGATGGAGATGACTATCTGAGGACCTGAATAATGCCCAGTCAGAGCACCTGACTGGCATACTTTAAATGGTTGCTTTTTTTCTTCCCAACCGAAGATTCCTGTGATGCCAGAAAGCTTGTACATGAATCTGCTGCATCTAACACCCACCCACCCCACACTCAGTAACTTCCTGCAAAAACTGGGTTTCCAGTGCAGGCTGGACAATGAGATGTAAGATTGGAGGCCTTATTTAGCAAGTAGACTTTTTAGCTGTTTGCATTGTTGCCACTGCATTGCCAAGTTGAGGACTGTAGGTTGGATCTGATGGCTGATGTTGTGGCTCTGTTGCCCTCGAGGGTCACACCCAGCTAAGCTTTACTCACAGCAGAAGCGCTGAAATTAATCGATCTATGTTAGTCATGCCATTTAATTTAAATGGGACTCCCTCTGAGTGTGACTAGCATTGGATACAACCCTGAGTCGTCTATGCTGCGGGTGGGATCATAGCACAGCATCCCTGGTCTCCAAAACGCAAAATGTCCCATAGCTCTTTTGTCTACATTTTTTCTCCAGCTGCAAAAAAAAAAAAAAAAAAAGTTTTAAAGTCCCCTTGGTTTGACTAGAGCTTCCCCCTGCAAACATTCCTTTCCTGAGAACTCTGTACTGTCTACAACTTTGGACACTAGAGGTTGCCTGGTGGAGAAAAGTGGTTGGCAAGCAACTCCCTGACTGGTGAAGTCACAGAGAGTGTAGCACGAGAAGCTGCCAACTCTCCTTTCTGGACAGAGCAGGGCCCTAGCTCAGTGATATAGCATCCACTTTTCATGTAGTTACAATCTATGGTTTCTCCAGTTAGAAGCAGACCTGGGTAAACTCTGCTTCAGAACATGGAGAGCTGCTACCCGTCAGAGCTGAGGGTGCAGGGCTAGACTGACGTACCATCTTGAGGTGTAAGGATCCCTCCTCAGCCTGGTGCCCTCAGATCTTTTGGGTTGCCATTTCAAATGTTGCATGCAGTTAGCATAGGCTGCATCAAGAAATCCCAGTTTTTGTACTATTTTGTTTTTTGTTTCTATTGTAAGACTCTTTGGATGGGTATCTGTTCAGAAAAGCGGTGTAGTGGTTAGTTAGAGTGTTGGACTAGCACCCGGGAACAAATTGGGAGGGGGAAAGCCCTGTATTGATGCCTTGAGCTCCTTGAAAGAAAGGTGGGATATAAATATAAAAATAAATAAGCATCAGCAAGTGACTCCAAAATACACGTAGGAGTAAATGATTTTTTATTTTTTTTAACGGACTTGGAGAGGATGCTCTTCCTGGAGCCTCTGGCCTACATTCCTGGTCATTTCTTACCATTATGTCTTTTTTTCTGTCACAGGAAGCGCCCGCTGTCACCGCAGTCCAAGAGTTCAAGCAAAGTTACAAGCATCCCAGGCAAAGCGGCTGAGTCCGGGGGCCCAGCTGCTGCTGCGAAATCAGGCAAGTCCAGCACATTGTCACGGCGGGAGGAGCTCCTGAAGCAGTTGAAGGCTGTGGAAGATGCCATTGCCCGCAAACGAGCCAAGATCCCTGGGAAAGTATAGTCTGCCTTGATCCAGCCTGGATTAGAGACTGCTCTCTGTGTTTTTATAAATAGCATACATACAAGCAGCCACTTCGGATTTTGCAGTTCAGTTTTATTTTGGCTGTGATCCTTTTTAAAAAAAATAATAAATTGAAAAGAGAAGAGTTTTGTCAGCTGAACACCCACCCGCCCCTTCTGGCGGTCTAAGACGGCTCCCTCCGGTTACCTCCCCAGCCCACGCGTTGCCGGCACCGTGGCGGAGGCAGCCACGTTGATGTTTTTTCCATGTCCATCATGCACAGAGGACTCTTAACTGCAGCCCTGTCCAGATGCCTTCTCTGCTCTGTCCTCCACTGCTAGCTACAAGTTGTGTTTCCTTAGTTAGCCCTGCTGTGTGTTGAGTGTCTTCAGCAATGCAGTTCTACAATGCTGTGTAAGGAGAGAGAGCCAAAACTCGCTCTGTCATCTGCCGGAAATGTCCCCCCACCCACCCACTACACCTCTGTTTGTTTGTCTTCTTCCCACCCCTCTCCACCTTACCCCCCCCCACAAGAACTAAACCAGTTGCATAGATATCCTTGATGGAAGTCTGGTCGGAAGATCCCATGTGTCTTTTTATTTTAAGCAAAAGATTGTTTTCGTTGATTAAAAAAAATGGAAAAGCAAAGGTTTCGTCAGGATGTGTGTCTGAAAAGAGGGGTCTTTTCTTTTTTTGAGGGGTTATGCTGAAAATAAAGTATTTTGATAAACAGCTTCTCTTCTTTGATGTGCTTTGTTGCCATCTCAGGTCCTGTCTCAGAATGCCTGGTAAACTCCCACCATCAGTCATTTAAATTTCCTATGAAAGGTGGATTGGGAATTCCTGCTGAGAATTTAAAAACGTGTGAGTTTGAGCTTGTTCCCCCTCAAAATCAAAGTCTATGTCTAAGGGTAAAGGTACCTTCTCCCATGAGATGGAAAGCTGAACATGCATCTCTTGCTGTCTAGCTGAAACCTAAGCCTGGCCAACGTTCTCCTCAGGCTACTAGGTTTTGCTGCATTCCATGATTGATTGGTTGTATTTAGCAAAAATGATATACCACTTTGTAGTAAAACTTTAAAATATTAAAACTATCAATAAAATACAGTACTGTTCAAAAGGGATTGAAAAATCTCAGGGAGATTTTAGTTGCCTTCTTCCCTGCTTTGCTATGCAAGGAAGATTGCACCCCAGCTTAATGTGCTCAAATGAGCTGATCACCAGAGCTTGCAGACAGCCCTGCCAGGTGCTCAGAAGACCCAACTGGGCTTCAAAACAACATGCAGAAGAAAGTGGGCCAGCTGAATTCATTGTGGCATGAGATGACTGACAGATGGTAGACCCAGCGCACCTGCAAACTTGGCTCACGGGGTGGAGGAGAAAAAGACGCAGTCCATTAGTCAAATCTAGTTGTCCACTCCTGTCTTTAAAGGTCTCTTTCAAATTAGACACGCTAGCATAATTTTCCGTCTAACTAAACTGGATCTTTGGGTCATTCGAATGGTTTGGCTTCCCCTGTTTTTATTCCCTCATCCCCCCCCCCATTTTCTTCCAGTCCCCAGGAACTCACAGAAGCTAATTGTGAACTCCAGAAAAGAAGGAGAAAGAGGACTTGGAATTGACAACCACTTGTCCCTGACCTTACATTTTAAAAACGGGAATCATTGTCCTCCAGCCCACTTGTGCTCACCACACAATAAAACACCTGTTAGTATCACTGTTCACATAACATCACTGCTTATGAAAATTGCCAATAAAACTGGTCAGAAGTAAGCTCAGATCAAGCAAATATATGTCATGTGATGCAGAATTAATTTATGGAATTTGCAGCCATAGGTCCCTGGCCTTAAAGGAGGATTAGACAAATTCTTGACGAAGGCCAAGTGGGGGTTAAGTAAAACCTCCAGTTTCAGAGGCAGTCTGCTACTTCTGGATGCAAGTTTCTGGAGAGCATCAGCAGAAGGCTGATGCCATCCAGCTCTGCTGGTAGACTTCCTGGAGGCATCTGGCTTTTCACTGGGGGGAGCTGGATATTGGACTAGAAGGGCAACTCACTCCGATCCAACCAGGGTGTTCTATGGGCAAGATTATTCAAGGAGCTGTGGCCTCCCATTTTAATGGGCATGAGCTTCTACTAGCTGTGCAGCCAGTATTAACATCCAATTCCCCCTTAGGCCACTACTAGTTGTAGAGGGCATTTCACAGGCCACTGATCTAACCCCTTTCCAGGCTCTGCTTCCCATCTGCCCTCCTTGACTACGTCTTACTAACTTGCCAGAAACTGATGCTTGAATTGAAGAGAGGTCTATAGACATGGGGGGCGGACAGAGAAATACGTAAATAAAGCTCCTGCGTGTCAGCATGACATGCACACTGGCCTTCTATTAACTTTCACTGATAAAGAAATGTGTCATCTTAGGGTTTTTGTCAGTTTTTTAAACCTATCTTGATCAAACCAGCAATTTGGGTGGGTGTGTTTTACACACTTCCAGTCGCTGGACTGGTCACTGATGCCTGAAGCCAGACCAACAGGCAAGATTGCATCACCTGTGCTTTGAAATCAGTTACACCTCCATTTTATGTTAGTCACGCAGCAAAGGGACGCAGAGAGTGATATTCCCCCCCACCCAGCCCCACAAAAAAAGAGAAAAGGTCAGTACCCACACATCTTAGGACCAGAAAGCTGCTGACCTCACTTCAAGTACCCTTAAGCCTTTTAACACACTACTCACCTATCCACCTCTGGTTCTACAAGTGTCTTTGTAATTTGATGAATTCTGCTAAACTCTCAGCTGTACATTGCCATTTTCCGTGCTGAAGTTTGGGTGGATGTTTATGAGCTTTATATTTTTATTCGGTTTAACTGCATTCTTTTTGTATTTAAGCAGTTTTTGGTTCTTATGCTTATTATAAGCCACAGAGACTTCCCAAATTACACTGGACACTTGTAATAAAAAGCTGTTTAAAACAACATCATGAATGCTTATGTATTTCAAATAGCACAATACCTCAAGGGAATATAAGGAGATACCTGTAGGGTCAGGCCAAAGCACTCTTCCTGTGTCTTGCTTTCCACACTCAAGGCTAAGACCCGGCTCTCCCAAGATATGATATACAATAGCCTTATGTTCTTCCGGAAGCTTTGGTATTCTGCAACATGGCACCAAAGTCCACCAGCAATTAGCTTATGATATTTGCTGCTTCTCAAAATAATTAAACTGAAAGTGAGTTAAACACTAAAAACAAGAACAGCCGGAAATAAGTAATATATATTTAACAAAACAGTATTCATTTGAGGGAAGGGGCATAGCTCACTGTTAGAGCATCTGCCTTGCACCAGAAGGTCCCAGGTTTAATCCCCAATGGGTCCCACTTGCCTGCAACTCTGGAGAGCTGTTGCCAGCCAGTGTAGACAATACTGAGCTAGAGGGACCAGTGGTCTGACTTGGAATAAGGCAGCTTTCTATGTCCCTTTGTAAAGGCAGAATATTGTGTCATTGGAGACATTTAGCTGGCCCTTGCAGGAAAAGAAAAGTGGACAAGATGGGCCCATAGTCTGGTACTCTTATGTAACAGTTGCATTTTCAGTGGGCAGAAGATTATGGACTTGCTAAAAAAACCTGAGCGACAGAGGACAAGGCTATCAATTGCTACTTGCCACAATGGCTATTTTCCATCCCCATTGCTGAAGGCAGGATACCACTGAATACCAGCTGCTTGGAATCACTTTTATCACCCACCCACTCAGGCTCATGTTCTTCCGTAAGTATCTGGAGGACATAAGGTGATCCTCCTTGCTGTGTAAAAAGGTAAAGGGACCCCTGACCATTAGGTCCAGTCGTGACCGACTCTGGGGTTGCGGCGCTCATCTCGCTTTATTGGCCAAGGGAGCCGGCATACAGCTTCCGGGTCATGTGGCCAGCATGACTAAGCTGCTTCTGGCGAAACCAGAGCAGCACACGGAAACGCTGTTTACCTTCCCGCCAGAGTGGTACCTATTTATCTACTTGCACTTTGATGTGCTTTCGAACTGCTAGGTTGGCAGGAGCAAGGACCGAGCAACAGGAGCTCACCCCGTCGCGGGGATTTGAACCACCAACCTTCTGATCGGCAAGTCCTAGGCTCTGTGGTTTAACTCACAGTGCTACCTGCGTCCCTTCCTTGCTGTGTAGGGCAACACTAATGTCACCAAAGTCTTAAGGGTTGCCACTATTCCAGAGAGTACCTGCCTGGGAGCAATACCTAATAAGCTGAAATTAAATGAGCAGAGGCACTCTCTTCCCCCACTTTCTGGCGAGGAGATGCTCTGATCAGCAAATCTGCACCCGCTGAATTTCTGCATTTTATTACCTGCTGATAGTGCAGGTGTGCAACTGGGACTCTGTTTTGATCACTAAAGCACATCCATGCATAGACCTCATACTCAGGGCCTACAGGATGGCTATGATTTTAAAAACTGATATTGTGGCAAAAGGCCAGCTATCTGGGACCTTTCCATTCTTGCTTAATTTTGGAGTTCTGGCCTTGGCTTTAGGTGTCAAGCTAGCCCAGGACATAAGATGTGACCCTGGTGCTGGAGAGGGAACTGGCGGTGTCACCCTGGGTCTGTTTATGTAAGAGGTGTGTAGCCTTTACTGGGTCCTGATTGGCTCGTTGCAACAGTGACACTTGCAGCGAACAGAAATAGCTCACTTGAAGGTGCCTGTTAGCTTCAGGGGCTGGCAGTGAAGAGCCCTGCCCTGGATGAGTCCCTCCTTCCTATGGGAAACCAAAGAGGAAGTTCAGCTCAGGTGCTTATCAGTTCATCAGCTTCAACAATCACGCAATTCCTTAAGTTTCTGTTTTGAGATGGGGGGGGGAGGGGAGGGAGAGAGGGAGAGAGAGAAAGAGAGAGAGAGAGAGAGAGAGAGAGAGAGAGAGAGAGAGAGAGAAGCTCTACAGAAGAGGAGAGCTGGGCATGCAGGGGTAAAGACAAATAAAGCCACTGGAATGAAGCCTCTTCTTCTAGCAGAGGCTGGTCAATTAAGGCAACCACCACCAACCTCAGTCTTCCCCTACCTGCCTGTCTTCCTACTTAACAGCCAGTCCAGGGGGTCGCCCTGCCTGTCCTCCTTCGTTTCACTGTGGCCCTTATGGCTCTCAGCAGGGGACACAAGAAAAGCCAATGGCTGAATCAGGCCAGTAGCCCATCTAGTCCAGCAGTGGCCAAGCTGATATCTGTGGGAATCCTCAAGCACAGGGGTCAGCAAACTTTTTCAGCAGGGGGCCGGTCCACTGTCCCTCAGACCTTGTGGGGGGCAGGACTATATATTTTTTGGGCGGGGGGAATGAACAAATTCCTATGCCCCACAAATAACCCAGAGGTGCATTTTAAATAAAATGACACGTTCTACTCATGTAAAAACACCAGGCAGGCCCCACAAATAACCCAGAGATGAGTTTTAAATAAAAGGACACATTCTACTCGTGTGAAAACACGCTGATTCCCAGACCGTCTGCGGGCCAGATTTAGAAGGCGATTGGGCCAGATCCGGACCCCGGGCCTTAGTTTGCCTACCCATGCTCAAGCAGGACCCAGGGCAAGAGCACTCTTCCCTCCTGGGGCTTCCAGCAACTGGCACTCAGAAGCATTTCTGACTGTGGAGGCTGAGCATAGCCATCAAGGGTTATGCACAGATATTGACAGCAGTGCCCTACATGAATTTGTTATTTCCTCTTTTAAAGGCAGTCAAAT